AAAAGACTGACTGGTGCTAGTGCAGTGAAACATAAAAGGTAAAAGTCACTGATGACCCTCACCAAGAAAGTTCAATTGTTAGATAAGTTAAAGGAAGGAATGAGAGCCGCCACTGCTGGCTGGTTGTTTGGTGTAAGTAAATCAACGGTGTCGCAAACTGTTCATGATAAGAACACTGTGGAAACAGAAAAAGCATTGAAATTTGGAGTGAGGACCAGCACCGCAAAAACGTGCCCATCAACAACGTAATTTGTCAGAAGGCTATGAGTCTCTATGCACATTTTCACAATACAACTGGTAGTGAAGTGGCTAGTATGGATACTGAACAAACTTTTAGTGCCAGTAAAGGGTGGTTCAAGAATTTTAACAAAAGAGTCTTGCTCCATCAAGTGAAGCTGATGGCAAGACAGTATCAGCTAACCACACGTGAATTTAAGTCCAGTGATATCCCCGTTTCCGGAATAACTGGTGGTGCAGTGCTCTTCCAGGGATGACAGATAGCTGGGTAAGGAGACAACTCTCTCAAACCCAATTGCAATAAAAAAAACATTCAAATGTTTATTGCATAAATCTTTTTTAGGTTCATTTGTTATGCTGCTACATTCATATTATTTATTTTATTATTATTTTTTGCTTGAAAAAATAAAAATCATTACATATACAGGCATGGCTGCAAGACCAACCAGAAGTACTGTGACAGGACTGGGAGCCAATAGGCTTGGCAATACTGCACCAGCCCAAGATTTAAATGCCAAGTAACACTTTTACTAGTATTTCTTGTTTTCTTAGGTTATTTGGGGCATTTGGGTGCCATAAAACAAAAATGTTACTTTTCCTGACCAGGAGTGATACCTTGTATGTATAATAATGTGACCCTTTATGGGTTAATACATGAAGACCCTTTCGACTCTCACTGACCATCACCACGACCTCATCTGCAAATTTGGTAAGAAGCTTCTACACCATCCCCGACACCGGCTCCTACTACCACCTGAGATCCCTAGTCCGAGAATTGCTGTTCGACACCACAACCGCATCCAGCCCATACGTGCACGAACTGATCGCTATAAGAACAGCCCAGTCCCAACCATTGTAAAAATTATCAATAACTTGTAATAAATCAGTGTATTCACTCCCAGTAAACACAACTTCTTGCACTGTCACTATGTTGAAATGAACTGTAGTTTGAGCTTTTCCCCATCTAGTTATTATATGTCTTATTTGTGTCACTTATGTTACTTTTATATTATTTGTAATTCGAAACCCATTCCCCAAATATGTAACTGTATATTTTCAGCCTTCTGGCTGCCAAGCTCTTTCAATAAACCGTTAATTATTATTATTATTATTAGAATAGTTCTCAATTCCTTTCCCTTGTAAATTGAGTAAAATATTCCTCTTAAGAGTCTTTGTGTTATACAGTGACCCCATGAGTAACAATATAACGATCATATATTTTCTATAGTATAGATATTCATATATGTTAGTGCATGATATACTTACTCCTACAATTATTCTCATCTACTTCCTTTCTCCCTCCCTCACTCCTGCCTCTATACCTTCTCTTTTCTCTCACTAGTATAAAAAACAAAAAAGAAGAAAAATGAAATAATGAAAAAATAACAGTAAATAAATAAATAGAAATATGGAATGCAATAAAGGAAATATTACACTTTTATTACACTCTAACACAATTAGAACAGATACTGTGAATAAAAGATTATACTGTTTCTCGCTAACTGTAAATATTTTCACCCGCGTCCACAGTCTAGATGTAATGGGAGTGTGTTTGTCTCTATGAGATGAGATGAGGAGATGCATAGTTTAGAGTCAAGTTTAGATGCGCAGTTAAAACTCTTGGAAAAGTTTCTCCTGCACCCACAAACATTATGGGGGTGTGGGCTAGTGTCTGTTTGTGCAAGATGAGTAATTTAGACTCTCGGAAACTTTTCCTAAAACGTACCTGGAAAAATTCCGGGGATGTGGAATTTTCCGTGTTTGAGAGTCGTCTCATTATCCAGAAATCTCTTATCCCCCAGAAGACCTCTGCACCAATTATTCCAGTTAAAGGGGATATTAAAACACTTAGTTGTCAACATACAGCAACTCCCCGGGCAGACCAACCTTAAGATCTTGTGATAGTGCTTCCAGCAATATGATTATGATAAACAGAAAGAGGCTCAAGACAGATTCCTGATGAACCCGTTTTCACTTTAAATTCCTCATTCTCTCACCATTTATTCTCACTGTGGTTCTAGGTCCACCATAAAATGCCATAAGCACTCAAACAAGACACTCCTCAGCTACTAAGTTTTTCACTGCCCACTGCACTACTTCATGTGGCACCATATTAAATGCTACTGCTAAATCTACAAGGTACAGCTTTTTCCCTTTCCCTTGATATTTCTTCTGTAGTTGCCTGGCCATAAATATAGCCTACAGTATGTAGTTCCCCAGTCTGGCATGAACCCAAATAACATTACATTAAACCTTTCGGCCTCGGAGCCTGAGACACATACGTGCATGAAAACTTACACTCAGCCTCGGAGGTTTTTGCCCAAAAAATTTTGATTTTGTTTTTGTTTTGTTTTTGTTTTTAGGCTCATATCACTGCCCTGGAATTGTTTTATTAATTAAATGGAAAATTCTTGAAATTTAAGCTACTTTTATCGAGTACAGTATTAACTGAAAAGGTAGGAAAATGTTTAGTAACATCTCGATTTCCTTTCACATTTTCCTTGTATTATGATGTTAACTGATATGAACTATACTGTATACTGTATAATATTGTGGTATAAGGAAAAATAATATAACACAAAAACTCATGGAATAATTAAAGGGATGAGCGGTGCACCCTCCCCTCACTCTAATGGCCAGAGCGACACTGGCTTCGTGCTGCTCTGCCACGCACACGATGACCAAGACCATCTCGGGGAAGGTGATAAGGCCCACACAAAGAAAACGACGTCTGTCAAATGGCGTCCAATGATCAGTCAGCTTCACTGAATAGTTTTGGAGTTATTTGAAATTATATTGCCCATGGGAAGCCACATTGGCATCAGAAGGATGAGCCCGCCAGCGTTACGTTTACTATTTGTTAAGTGACTATAAATTAGCTGCTTTGGCAGTCTACTTTCATCCATGTTGGTAACATGGCCAGTTCAGCATAATTGTTCATATAAAATGGTAGCCTCGATGCTTCTACAGTTGGTGTCAGCAAGAATACTGGCATTTCTTCTCTTGTATTCCCAGCGAACTCGGAGGATGGAACGCAGACTACGTTGGTGAAAGTTTACAAGTGCCTTGAGGTGCCTCCTGTATGTGACCCATGTCTCACTGCCATATAGCAGGGTGGGGAGGACCATTGCTAGATATACGTATAACTTTGCAGATAATTTCAGATCCCTACAGCTGAAGACACTGTTTATGAGACTGCCAAAGGCTTGAGCTGCACATCTGATCCGATGTTGAATCTCTTCATCGATATCCGAGGTGGTGGACAGGTGGGAGCCGAGATACCTAAAGTGGGTAACATTAGAAAGGGTAGTACCGTTAAGCTGGATGGATAGTGGAAATGTGGCTATACCAGGGGCAGGCTGAAAGAGAATCTGAGTCTTAAGTACATTCACCTCAAGGTCGAAGTGTGCATGGGCACCTGCGAAGGTGTTAAGGATTTCCTGTAGGTCATGTTCAGTGTGAGCAACAAGGGTGAGGTTATCTACATACTGAAGCTCAGTAATGGAAGCTGCCGACACCTTTGTTCCTGCCTGAAGTCGTCTTATGTCAACAAGACCCTTCATCCGGTACTTCATGTCCACCCTGCCGGCTAAATTGGCACTGGCACGAGTAAGGAAGGCAGCCAAGAAAATGGAAAAGAGAGTTGTTGCCAGTACACACCCTTGTTTAACCCCTGTTTGGATGGGGAAGAACTCAGACATGGTGCCACTGTGCATGACCCTGACGTTCAGGCCCCATGGAGTTGCCTCTCAATGGCGATGAATTTTGGCAGGCAGCAAAAACGGCTGAGGGTCCACCAGAGGGCTTCTCTGTTGACCGAATGGAAGGCCTTGATTAGATCGTTGAAGGCCTTGTACAGGTCATGACAGTGTTCTCTGCACTTTCCTGTATCTGGCAGGCAGCAAAGATCATGTCAGTGGTGTGATGTGATGGTATAAAGCTACAATGAGATTCTGGAAGGAAGTTTTCCGCCTCAGGAAGAAGTCTGTTTAGGAGGACTCTGGCGATAATCTTGCCAGCTATGGACAGCAGCGAGACCCCGCAATAATTGCCACAGTCTGACCAATCTCCCTTGTTCTTATAAATATTGATGATGAAGGCATCTTTAAGAGCTTGGGGGATTTCCTCATTTTTCCCTGTATTGTCCAGGAGAGAGTGGAGACGGCTGGTAAGCAGAGGTCCTCCTGCTTTATACACCTCGGCTGAGATTCCATCAGGTCCTGAGGCTTTGTTATTTTTCATCTGTTTGATATCAGTAGCTACATCATCCAGGAATGAGGTGAGTCAGCTCTGGATGCTGAGGGACATGCTGGGTAGTCAAGACATCCACATTGTGTTTCGGTTGAGCAGTGAATGGCAGTGCTCTTTCCAGCACTGAAGGAGGCCTTCTTCATCTTTAATTATGAAGCTACAGTCGGATGAGCAGAAGGGGTTTGTGCCACGAATGATTGGCCCATAAAATGTTTTAGTGGAATTGAAAAATTTGCGCATCTTGTGCTGATCTGCAAATTTTCGTATACCAATTGTTTGAAAAAAATCTCTCTCTCTCTCTCTCTCTCTCTCTCTCTCACAGCAAGTGGCAATACAGTATTTTTTACAAGACAATCTCCACTTGAAAAAGACAACTCAAAAACTGAAAATAAAAATACATAGTAACATAGGCACAGTATCGTAATATCCAGCTGTGGGTATTACAATAAACTTATACATCATCATTTACCCACTAAAAAATAGAGATTTCATAAATACTACAAGATCCTTACATGAAGTGAATCCTCTGGGCTGGCGTGCAGTGGACGGGGGTGAGGGGGGGGAACAGCGTAGTTTGCGTTGTCGCCCGTGGCGTCCGAGTTGTGATCTAGCCTGTGGTGAGGCCAGTGGTGTAGGGGAACATAGGTTTGTATGTGAGGTGTTGGGGATGATGAAGGTTCAGTCACAGGTGTGGGGACAACAGAATTTGAGTAGCCAGACTGCAGGCTTGGGTTTGAGTAACCAGTGTGTATGAAGGGTGTTGGTGAGGAAGACACAGTCATGGATGTTGGTGTGAGAGAACTGGGGCTGGGATGTGAGAAACTAGTTTGTGGGCCGCAAGATAATTGACCAGTGTGAGAGATGGGAGGGTTGCTGTTGCCGCCTCGGTTATGGAACGAGGATTGGAAGAGGTCGCCGCGTCGCTTGGCGCTCTGCTGGTTAGATAAAGCCCATAATAATTCCAGGGAAGGTCTCAGAAACTTATCAGACTTATAAATAATCAACAGTGATGATGCACATACACACAAAATCTAGCACTACAGTATTTAACTGAGACCTTCCCGAGAATTTGCCATCAACAGTGTTAATTTTAGGAAGGTTATAAAAAAATACCAGTGGAAAACTACAATACATACAAATGCAGTCTCTAACTGTTAATAAACATTCATGTCACTCTGCTTTCATAACTTATTATTTCACAGTGCAAATCATTTGAAATAAAATATATATATACAGTACATACATACTGTACAGTATATATAAACAAGGAAAATAAAATCATTACATTGCATTTATGTTAAATCCATTCTATTACTACTCCCATTATCAAAGAAGCCAAGGAGTTAAAATTCCTGGTAAATTTTACTATTAGGGAAGGAGAAGGCCTTCATACTGAAGTGTAAATATCATTAATAAATTCTTTCCATCTCTTCAAACTTGTATTGTAGTAACACTAGTTTATGTACTGTATATATATATAAACAAAACAATTTGAATAAAAATAATACATTCCTTATTCACTTGTGCCTGACTCAAATTTCTTGTAAAATTGAGTTTGTCCTCAATCACACCAATGCCACCATTATCAAGTTGACCAATAATTGCACACCGAACACGCACACAACACTTTCCCAATATACTGTGCATGCTTCTTAATTTACACAACTCCTTGAAAAATTAGAATTAGTACTCAGGCTTCTTTTATGTCCTTGTAATTATAAAGCAGAGAAGATCCAACAATAAGCAAATGTCTGGGACCCAGCATCTACTGTTCAGCTGTGAGTCTCTTATCAACATAAGTTGTGTAGGTTTCCTATTTAGTGAAAATAACACAGTACAGTATATAATCTAACCCCAATAGTGGATAAAAATTTTGGATAAATATTAATCTTTAGATCAAAATATTGGAGTTTATGTTTATATCTATTAAAATCTTTTGTGCCAGTTAGAAAATAAAATGTGCAAGTGAAATACAAGAATTTATTTATTATACGGTAATTTCAGTGGCAGATATTTATAAGCTAAATTGTGTAACTGTTAGCATAATAGGAAAGCACCTTCTAATATGCTTGAAAAGTTGTCTTTGACACTGTATTAACAGATTCTTTTAAGAGCTTATCACCACAGCCAATTCAGGACATGTGATCCACAACACAACAGTGGAAACATTAAATTGAATCTGGCAAGACAAATGGATTGCTCTGAGAAGAAATGGTAGGCGGGGAATCTTTAATTACCACAGGGAGGTGTCACCCTGCCTTGCCACCAAAGAGGGTGTTTGTAAGTCCATCAGAAAAGCCCAGTTCCCATTCTGTAATAATGGGTTAGTGATGGGAAGGGCATCCAGCAATAAAACTTACTTCGGATTTGTCTCAAGGCAACTAGGATACCCTGCTATCAAGCCTAACCCACACAAGCATGGAAAATGGCAATAAGCCGGTGATGGTAATGGCATATTAAAAGACTAATATACAGTGCACTCATCATCAATATCAACGTTTTATGATCATTTTCCATATCTACTCGGACTCGCTGGGATTACCTGACACAGCTGTTGGGTGAAACCAGACAGGATCCCCTAGTCACCACCACAAACATAGGGCACCAGCCCCCCAAAATACAGCAGAGACAAGGGGATGGGCACAGCTCTGGTGTCTCAGAGTTGCTCTCAGGCAAGTTGAAGTCAAGTTTTTCAGCTGGATGCCCTTCCTAATGCCAACCCACAAGGTGGGAACAGATGGCTAGGCAGGATCACAACTCCTTGAAGGAAAAAAAGACTACTTGTCTACCTGTATTCACTGAGGTATATCAAAAGACTAATATACACTGAGGTATATCAAGACTTATATACACTGAGGTATACATATAAAATACAACATAACAGCCATCATTAAGGCACACCTTAAAAGTTTATTTGGAGTTAAAAACTCTTACTGAATTAGTAAAGAAAAGAAGTTAATAAGGGTGAGGTGAGCCTCTTGTGGCAGTGCACATAACAAAACCGTTATTTAATGGATTGTAAAAATTAGATGTGAGAAGGAAAGTGAGAGCAAAGAATAATGTGGCTATGGTGGAATGCGAAACCTGGCTCACTGAATACAAAGACATTCTAATTCTGATGAAAGCAGAGAAACTGCTGATAGAGCACAAAAACATTACAAGAGTGAGCTGTTGTGAGTAGAGTAGACGGCAGCTGGACACAGATTAATTTCCATAAACAATATTAGGTTAAACAAGATTTTGAAACTGAAAGATGACCAAACAGCAAGCAAGTACAGTAGCCAAATTTTTTAGGGTTAGAAAGATGAACAGGGAAATGTAGAGAATAAAGCATAAGAAATTTTAGTCCAGTGTGGAACAATGGGGAGAGTGGCTGAGATAAGCAGTGTGAGAATAAATACATTATGTGTACAGGGGGAACAATAACTACAGGCTGGTGATTAATCATGTTAACCAAAACACTGCTATAGACATCACTATTACTATGCAATATTCAGTCTTATCTGATGATATAGAAGGTTGTGAATGAAGAGCCTGAAGGGGATGAGCAACATTATTTTAACTATAATGAGAATGAAAAGAACAAAAGTTGGCTTCATTTTTACATGCTACTTATTTAATAATTATCTAAAAAAAAGTGTTAATTAAACTCTTTTGATGAAAGATAACTCAAGAATTACAAAGAAGAGGAATTATCTCAAGAAAAGAGAAGTACAGGGGGTATCTGTGGTTTGTGTGAATATTTACATTTACTTCACAGGTCAATTATACAAGGTATGAAACAGCAGCAAATAAGACATTTACACAGAACTACAATTGTAGTTTCTTCTGGGGTAATTGCACACACACAAATGTAATGCAAATTAATAAATGCACTTTTACTTGTGACTGTCAAACTCATGACACATGCTCTCAACAGACAGAAGATAGGAGCCATGAACTAACATATGTTTTCACTTTTATTAACACAAAATTTCTATGTAATAACTAGATTTGTTGCAAGCAATGCATATTACTTAAACGATTAACATGCCAATTACTTAGTTACCATGCAAAGACGATGTCAACCTTTAAAGATCAATCATACAACATGTCCATTACTGAACTTTCAGGCGAGTGGCTTCAACTTACTTGCGTTGAACGTGCAGGTAATGGAGGTGGCGGAGAATCTGCTTGTTCCTCCAAAGGCTCAGTCCATCGATCACTAGAGTGACTTGAACTGGTGCTGGAGAGTGTTCCCATATAGTCAGGGGTTCGCTCATAATCTGCTGTATGTTCATGTTCACCATTGTTGCTGTTACTGTTGTTGTTCTGTTCATAGAATGACAGTAAACAAAAAAATCCTTTATTCCTGTCAATAAATGATATTAGGTAAATTACATACAGTAGAGTACTTATATCCATACTAAACATTTGTTCTTCACAAGTCAAAAAAGTTCATTGAATATTTATAACAAACAAAATACAGCACATGAATACAGCTGCAAAACATAAACAGAAAAAAATGGATGTAAATGTTGAGGCCATAATTAGTTTCGTTTACCTTAAAATAACTTTTTGCAGAACTCAACCCTTGCCTTTAGGAACCATTACTTCCTACAGTCCCTTCTCTTCACTTAACCCTTAAGCCTGGGTTAGGGTGCTGCTGGCAGTTCTCCCCAAGGATAAACCGAAAAAATCAACTCCCCCAAAATGGCGGAAAAATAGGCTGGCGTTCTGGAACATCACCCGGGGGTCTAAGGGTTAATAATAAACCTTCCCTTATATGCAAATAAGCACCCTTTACTCCCATTAATATTCTCTGTTGAGAGCCACCAGACAGAAATATAACCTGTGCTTATTCTTCCTAAACCACCCCTGTTCATCACTCATTTAGGATTTCCTAAAATCAGTATTCACCAAATCAGAAGCCTACTTGAAGTTTCCCAAATGTTCTTCAAACCGTCTATAATAATCCTAACATGAATACTGTATTGCCACTTCTACCATGAAAACTTATTCCTTCGTAAAATATGTGCTGAACTTATTTTTCTTCACTTTATATAATTAAAAAAATCACTTATTTGGTTAAATTATCTGACACACACATTGTACTGCTATCATCAAGGGGTCACAGACAATTCTACGAGAGCTCAGGTGATAATTCTGTTCACTTCTTACACAAGTTAATATTTTTCAGTAAGTAAGGAAGTAGGCACAATCAATCTGCATGCTGCCACCTTTATAATATTTTCCACTCCATTATGTCTAATCAATTTTCTTCAACTTCTAGTTTTGAATCTCTTATATCATCATTTCCTATGACTTTTTTTTTTTTTAATTTTCTCCATCTATCAGAAATTTATTGTTCACAATCATCTTCCCATCCTCACCAACACCTTCTTCACAAAGATTCCCATTTTACAGTTGTTCCTTGTCTCAGTATTATATGTAAACGCTTTCAAAATTTCATGTATAATCAGTGGAGGAGTTGATATACTGTAAGTAACTGTTGCAAAGGCAATATATAACAACCTTATTTGTGTGTTTTACTGTGTCTTTTAAAAGACATGTTTTACTGTGCACATTCTGCCCTCAGCACAGATCTATTCCTGGAAATACAAACTTATGTCACTCCAATGCCCACACCTTCATCTACTCATACATCTAGCTCAAATATCTGAACAACCTTCTCTAAACCTATCTTTGCCAATTCTCTTTTGAGTTCCCCCTAGTTTGGCATCCTTAAACTCTACTTCTCTCTCACTTTTAAATATGTATAACAAGGGGCATTTATTTTCTTTTTTTTTGTTCATGCAAGTCTCCCAACTTTGATGCAACATGTTAAGAAAGGTGTTGATAACCTGATACAATACTGTTCTGTACTTAGCATTGACAGGATACAATTTCACAAGCAACAAGAACACCCCAAAGTGTACTAAATTACTGATGATTGCACAGGGGCTCATGTACAAGGAGGAACCCAATCATCCACTCTAGTCAGGAAATGAACCCATGCCCATCTGCTTGTGAAACAAACACATGCTCCCAAAAATATTAAATATCAACTTAATTTTATCATCATTTAACTCTTCAAATTCCATTCATCTTACCTGATATTCTTGTCGCTCTGGTTGGTGATCGTTGTGATGCCCCCTAGATGGGTCATGGTAATCATGTGCGCTGCGTTGGTCAACCGTGAAGGAACGTGAAGAATTTCCTGTGCCATACCCAGAGCTGTTACTGGAACGTGGAGGTGACAAGCTCCGGTCATACCTGAACACGAATCAACGAAACGATATTCCAAACTCAAAGTGAATGTGTCAATTCCCCATTTACATCTGTGTAAGTAGTGCAATTCCCCATAACAAAAGCTTAACCTTTCCCATCCTGTCACTGATCACAACTGCTATGCACAATGTTTTCAAACATTTTCATTATTGTACATTCTGTATTATTACAATCCTTTATTTTGATCCCAGAAACAATGTTCAGTAAATGTCCTGATAAATTCACAGCATAGTAAAAAAAATCATGTACAGTCAGACAAAGATCCAGGGATCCCTCCCTGAGTCTCGTACTGGCAATTTTACCTGGCAATACTTGGTAAAGTAAGGTTGTATGCAAAGGTAATTGTGATTGGTGGAACTATTTTCGGCTGTACAGTCGACCCTCGTTAATTCGGACCCCTTTAATCCGGATTTCGGATAAATCGGACGAAATCTGAACTGTCCATATCAAATTTCTGGTTCTGGGATTGTCCCAGTTGCAATTGGGGTTGCAATTTCAAATTCTGTGTCACTACTAAGAAATAACAAAGTCCCTGGTGCACTCTAAGATTAAGAGAAAACGGACGACTCAGGCGTCCTGAAATGAGAGAAAACAGACTCCTATGACGGGGCACTCAAATAAAGAGACATGGCTACATGTTTTGTGGACTAGCCACTGTACAGTATCCTTTTCATCACTTTAATAAACCTCATTATGCCTATGTGTTTCTGATAATTACCATAACATTATATATTTATATATTTAGCGGTTGTACAAACACAAGGCCTCACACATGCCATTCAGACTGACAGACTTGACAAGTTTTACCAACCATAAAGACAGTTGAAGCTTTAAACATCACTCACAATGGATCTTGAATATTCCAACTGTAATCAGACATACCTAAGTTGCCTCAACAATTGCAACCTCAGTTGCAATATCAAATTCTGTGTCACTACTAAGATATAACAGTCTCTGGTGCACTCTAAGATTAAGAGAAAACGGACGACTCAGGCGTCCTGAAGTGAAAGAAAACGGACTCCTATGACGGGGCACTCAAATAAACATACACATAGCTGTATAATGCAATATTAACCCCTAAATCGGTTAATTCGGACAATCGGCTAAAACGGACACCCTTCCCCCCCTATTAGTCCGTTTTAACGAGGGTCGACTGTATTACTGTCAGGATAAATATTAAACCATCCAAAGGTAGAATTTTTATAATAATATACTATTCATTATTATTTAAGATCATGAAAACTTCCAAAAGTTCGCATATTTGGTTAAATAATGTAGAAATTATATTAATGATTTGGCAACTCAACTACAACGAGGACACCCACAAGATTCTCAGATCAAGTTTTCTTCATTATTTAAGCAAATAAAAAAACTATTTGGAAACTTCTCCCCATGATCTTAAATAATAATGAATACACTGTACTGTACAGTGAACCCTCACTTTACGCGGTCAATTGAACCCACGGAGGCCCATAAGAAATGCGTAAAGTGAACAACATAACATATGGGATTAATTGAAATAGAAACCGGGCCGATCCCCAAACTCCACTTTTTCCTCCACTTTTTCCCGACGCAATACCTATGTTCTAGTAAAAATAACATCTTAATTTTATGATGGTACACGCACACAATTAATATTTAAGAGAAATACAGTCGCCAAGTTTATGTCCATTCAAATAATGGACTCAACTCCCTCCCCCTCTTCTCACACTACACTCGCTGGCTCTTCCCTCTCAGAGAAATTTTGGGGGGAAAACCACTAGATTTTAAGATATAATCATAAATAATACCTCAAACTAAAGTTAAGATAATATAATTGACATTGCTGGATTCCTTGTAAGACCAGGAATATTTTGAATATAAATGTCATATATTTTGCACAGAGATAACATATTTACTCAGAGTAAACAAAATACTTACATTAGATCTAAAATTTGTATGTCTAATGCAAAATCTATGATGTTTATATTCAAAATGATCATCAAATTGTAAGAATTCCAGCAATGTAAATTATATTCTGGCCGGGTAATTTGTATGAATTTTATGAGCTAAAACAAATATCTTAAGTTAATAAAAAAAAAAAATATTCTTCAGACACTATCTGTCAATCAAAATACCCCACCACGCCAGCTGGGTCAGTCGGTCCCTCCCTCCCCCCCCCCACCTTCCCTCCCTACCAGAGAAATGTTTGGGAGAAAACAGAATATTTCCATTTTTAGTAATAAATAATACCTCAGACTAAAGTTAGGATAATATGGTTCACATTGCTGGATTCCTTGCAAGACCAGGAATATTTTGAATATACACGTCATATATTTTGCACAAAAGAAAACATATTTGCTCAGAGTAAACAAAATACTTGCAGTAGATCTAAAATTTGTATGTCTAATGCAAAATCTATGATGTTTATATTCAAAATGATCATCAAATTGTAAGAATTCCAGCAATGTAAATTATATTCTGGCCGGGTAATTTGTATGAATTTTATGAGCTAAAACAAATATCTTCAATAAATAAACAAAATATACTTACCCAAATACTATCTGTCAATCAAAATACTCCACCTCCCCCCCTCTTCCCACCTGCTCCCTGGGTCCCTCCCTCCTTCCCTACTCCTCACCCCCACCTTCTCTCCCTACCAGAGAAATGTTTGGGTTATAACAGCATATTTACATTTTTAGTAATAAATAATACCTCAGACTAAAGTTAGGATAATATAATTGACATTGCTGGATTCCTTGCAAGACCAGGAATATTTTGAATATACACATCATATATTTTGCACAAAAGATAACATATTTGCTCTGAGTAAACAAAATACTTACATTAGATCTAAAATTTGTATGTCTAATGCAACAACTATGATGCTTATATTCAAAATGATCATCAAATTGTAAGAATTCCAGCAATGTAAATTATGTTCTGGCCGGGTAATTTGTATGAATTTTATGAGCTAAATAAAAAAATTATACTTCACCCGCGTATGTGAGTAGATGCACCGCGTAAAGTGGGAATTCCGGTTCTGGCAGGGTACCGCGTAAATGTAGAAACGTAAAAAAAGCCGCGTAAAGCAGGGTTCACTGTAGTTTATTATTATAAAAATTCTACCTTTGGATGGTTTAATATTTATCCTGAAAGTAATGCAGCCAAAAATAGATCCACCAATCACAATCACCTTTGCATACAACCTTACTTTACCAAGTATTGCCAGGTAAAATTGCCAGTACGAGACTCAGGGTGGGGTCCCTGGATCTTTGGCTGAATGTACATGTACAGGGGTCCTCACTATGTTGCACCGATATACATTATTTCACATAAACATCACTAACAAATAAAAGAAGAAATTTTTATTATACTGTATGAAATTTATTTTCACACACACGTCATTTGCATCATCCACTGTTTTATACTAAGTCTGTGTGTACCCAAACATGATGTATAAATAGTGTTAAAAGCATATAATATAAAATAAACACAACCATAATAAGCAATTAAAGTGTTCTACAAGTGTCAAGTCTCTACCACACCAAAATACATCAGTCACCTCTCACATGACTGAGTGCTAATGCCATTGTTATGTGTTAAGTAACCATAAAGTCATTACAGTGTATAGGGGTATAGTGTATGTGTGAGAATATCGAGTACAAAAATCACCATAATGCGTGTGTGTGCATGTTAGCTGTGAAAAGGCTGTGCAAGTGTCATTGTAACATAAGAAACCATAAAAGTTATGGAAATATTATTTCAATATTCTAATGTGATTTAGAATTAAAGAAAATAAACTATAAAATAAGAAAAATTAAGAGTAGGAAGTTAATTGTGTGGGAGGTGGGAGGTAGGGCGGGTGTGCGGCTGGACAACTCCACCCTCGACCCCATTAACACAACAGTATGCAATTTCACAATAATTCACATATGTAATGTACTGTACAATTTATGTTCATTTGGTACCGAGTTAACAAAATATTATCGTAAAATAATCCATTTCCCTGAAAAAAAAATTCTACACCCAATCCCAGGTGATTCGCTGCTTTGTAATAAACTCCTGGTGCTTGTTCACAAAGCCGACCAACTAACCGTTATCGGCAGCCGCCCTCTGAGCAGTGTTGCCATTACTCTAGTTATCTAATGCATCTCTGATGTTACTGTTCATGATGGTTGCTGCTTACCACAACAACTGTCTTCAACACTTAGTATATAATATTGCAGTGTATTTATCAGCGCTTAATAAACAAAATTGTAATGAATCTAAATGTAACAAGCAGCCATAGCTAACCACCATGTATCACTCAAAGATTAAAAATGCTATACAGTACATTATGCTATAATGGCTCCCTTGAAAGCTGATTCACTGAGATTTAATGTTGGAATGCATACACCCCTCATAACATTAATTTTTACTGGGAGAAATTCCTCATATAAAACATCTCATTACAAGCTGCTTTTCTTTGGAACACATCTCCGACATATAATGAGGACCCGTGTACAGTGCTTTGATTTTTCATTGCACCAGTCATCTTCAACATCCACATATAAACTTAAGACAACTATACATTAAGCAGTAATATAAATGTCAACTAACCTGTGATTATGGCGAGACTTTTGATGTTTGCGCGAGAGTTGCTCGGGTGTGGTGAGATTCTCATAGTCTCCCTCACTACCCCCTAATAGGAAGCCACATGTTGGCACATTACACCCTCTGTTAGGCAAAAAAAGTTTTAAGCATATTAATGCACATCAACTGAAAAAAATTAAGAGGTAATATCAACAATATATTTATGAACATTTTTAAGTTAAAGGATAAAAATACTTTATTATTAAACTATAATAAGCAAAATAACCAGGCCTGGCTGCATATGAATTCCCAGATAGTAAATAGGACCCCACATATTAACACACCATCAGGTACTTCTCAACACCACATATTAACACACCATCAGGTACTTCTCAACACCACATATTAACACACCATCAGGTACTTCTCAACACCACATATTAACACACCATCAGGTACTTCTCAACACCACATATTAACACACCATCAGGTACTTCTCAACACCACATATTAACACACCATCAGGTACTTCTCAACCCCACATATTAACACACCACCAGGTACAGGAAAGCCTCCGATAACGACGGTTCTACTAACGACGATTCATATTTAAGACCCTAGTTAATTTAGGAACCAATTCAATTTACGCCATTATTTTCTTCATATTTATGACAAAAATAGAAAGAAAAAAAAAATTAAATTTTCATATAAATAATAACTAATCTCGATATGTATTAGACTATAAAAAAAAAAATGCCTTGCGCACGAAGGCTGCCAGGCTTGTGAGTGGTGACGCCAGCATCACTAGTATAAACAGTCGCGGCTGGCGGGCCCTTTGTTTTCATGCATCTGAACAGGAAAAGAAGAAAAACTTTCTTTGGTTTCTTATGGCATTTTTTACATCCCTATTCAGCATGAGCAAGAGAGCAAGTGATGGTAGTGCTGATTCAAACGCTAAAAGAAAGTGTATCAGCTTAGCCGAGAAACTAAATGTGTTAAAACTATATGGAAAAGGTGTGAAGTCTGTGGATATTATATGGAGCAAGCAATGAATATATTTTCTAAAGTGGATCCATTAACAGAACAAAGCATTAAAAAAAATAGGGACATAAAAAACGCATATGACCTCTACACAAAGATGTATAATGAGAAAAGAAAGCAGCTGTGCAAAGTTCTTTCGACAGCTTTATTATTCAAAGGCTTAAACCATCAACTTCAGCTACACCATCAAATTCAGCATCATAAGCAGCTTCAATAACTTCAGATTCAGTAACAGTTTCAGCAACAGATTTATGGAAAGCTACAGCTTCAACCTACAGCTTCAGCCAGAGTTGAACCTGATGACTTCGTCATCTGAGTAAAACCTCGCACAATACCCATTGCCTGTCCTTATGTTTTAGACTTTACCACCATTGGTGAATAGAATTTTAGTTTTACATTTGTAAATATTATTTAAAACATATATGAACAGTAAATAAGTGTTGCTTTCATAGTCATATGTAGAGAAATGACAATAAGTTTTAACACATACACACTTACTGTACATATGTTGGCGTTCCCAATCGTCTCGCCTTATTTCTTTCCCATTAGTGGTTAGTTACGTCTATTGTTCCATTTATTAACATTAAATAACATTACTTAAAACAAACATAAAGGCATTCATTTTTTTTTTACATTAAGTTCACTACAGCTACAACCTGGGTCTTATTTTCTTCAGTTTCTTATGTAGAACCATCGTCACTCACGAAAACAATGCCATCTTGTCTACTCTTGTGTGTTTTAATATTCTACGTATTATTAATGAATTGCATTGTTCATTTCACATTTATAAACATTAATTCAATCAAATATATATTCAGTAATAAACAATAATGAATCTTTGTACATATGCTTAAGATAAATGACTATGTTTCCTTGAGTACACACATATACATTGGGTGTAAACACTGACAACAATGTCGTCTCTTATCCTCTTGTGTTTTAATATTCTACGTATTAATGAATTGTATTGTTCATTTCGCATATACAACCCTGTACAGTAAAACCTCGATTAACCCACCCAGGCACTGGTCACTGACCCACATCTGGGTCAGGGAGGCAAAAATGTAATAATAATGATAATGCTAATGATAATGATATTAATAATAATAATAATAATAATAATAATAATAATAATAATAATAATAAAGAACCAGAAAGAAATGCAAAAATGAAAAAAAAAATCAAGAGTGAGAAACAATATACTGTATGTGTGTTGTGTTGTCAATAGTCAGAGAAACAATTGAGACTCTGCAATTGTGTGTAAATGAGGCAGAAAGTCAGATAAGCAACCTGGGACTTGGTCACAATTTTCGTGATGCCATATGTTCTTTGACTTTTCCATTTTTTATTCACGGTTTCTGTGCTGGTTCATATTTATTTACTAAAGTGGTTAATGTTTTAAAGCAAATGCTATTGAAATATGACTGGCAAATGAACAAAAATTAATAGAGGGACTTAAATGAGGTAGGTTAGGGAAAGGTACTTTAAAAATGTATGTTTTATTTCCGTAGACTTTATTTACTATTAATCGACCTTTAGGATTATCCGTTGCCCCCTTCCCCCATATGTGGGTGGTTAATCGAGGTTTTATTGTATAAAGATTATCAAATACATATCCAGTAATAAACAATAATGAATCTTTTGTACATATTCTTAAGATAAATGACGCGGTAGCCCCCCACCCACCTCACGCAGTCTGCCACTACAACAAAATTCAGCCCATAAGAGCCCGCACCGATAGATATAAGAACAGCACAATCCCATCTATTGTTAAAATTATAAACAACTCCTGATTTATGTACTGTACAGCCCTGTAAATGTATTCAATGCATATTATATCATTATGTCTAAATCAAATGTAAGTCTGTATATTTTCAGCCAGCGGCTGCAACTCTATCAATAAACCGTTTATTATTATTATTATTATTATTTCCCAATCCTTCTCTTTTTTTTCTTTGCCATTAGTGGTTAGCTACTTCAATTGATCCATTTATTAACATTAAATAACGTTACTTAAAACATATATATTCATTTTTTTACATTAAATTTACTACAGCTACAACCAGGGTCTTATTTTCATAATTTTCTCGTGTAGAACTATCATCCAGGACTCCCGGCTGTAAACGGAAACGAAAACAATGGCGTCCCATCTCCTCTTGTGTGACCATATTATTATTCATTTATATTGTATAAGGTGCATTCAGACACATTATTTAAAGAATATAGTTTGCAATTTTCATTCATTGTATTGTTTTTGGAGGAAAAGAGGGTAAAAAGCCACACAAAAGATATGAAAAGGTCACACTTGGGAACACATCTCATTATTATTGCTTTATTTTAATGGTAATTAATGATTCGCGAAACGATGATTCACCTTACACTGCAATATTGGAGAACATATTAACGTCGTTATTCGAGGCTTTACTCTACCAATGTATTAGTTTCAGACTGCATGGTCCCGTGACTACGCTTGTCGCCCCTTGGGATATAATGAATTAATTAAATCTTAAATAACAAGCCCAGCATGACTAAACAGACGCTCACAAGCAGCAGATGCAAGTTGTGGGATGTTAAGCTTCAAAGATAAGTCACATAATGTCAGGATAGACCTCAATACTGTAGCTCCATTCCATCCCCTGGGCATTCCAAGTAGCTATCAAGCTCCTTCAGTTGAGGAGTCTGTGGATGATTGTTGCCTCTATAGTGACTGAATCTGACTAAGACTCACTGTGAACTGTCCCCTTAATTGGGGGTGTGGCTGTCATGGCATCACTCTTCGATTCTAATTGACGAGTGGCTGAATTTTTTGCACCAAGTAACATCTGGCAGATGCTGGTGAGGGGTACTTAGTTATTTAAGCAGAATTTTAAATACACTCAGTCTCACACATATATATAGATACCTACTTTATATCTAAGATGGAATTATGTAAAGCATTTTAGAATCACAGCCTCTTTGAAATTCATTTTAGCTACAGGCATATGCAAAGAGCAACTGACGTCTAACGGAGAAGTGGGGGAGAAGAGAGGAGATTCGACTGGGGAAGGGGCATATGAGGGTATGCTAGGTGAGGTGGATAGTCAAGGTGTTAATGGATGCAAGAAGATCAAAGGGAAAGTCTGCTGTCATGGCCACTACCACATGTCCTGACCTAACTTCACCTCACCTCACCTCACGAGACCTCTAGGTATGTGACCGCGTGGTGTCTCCCCACACCTTACCCTTCATGGCTCCACACGTACCATACTCCACCAACACAACTCTTTTATTATGGTTAATTATGATTAATTAATTACAAATATTTTATTAATTTACCACACATTAAAACTGTTTGTTTGTTTGGGTCTTGTAACGAGTAAAGATTTTTGTTTTGTTTTTCAATTGTACAGTAGTCCCTTGGTTAACGAACACAATTCGTTCCAGAAGGTCGTTCGTTAACAGAAAATTTTGTTAACCGAAACCATTGTTTCAATGGGATTTTGGGTAATTGGTTCCAGCTCAACGAAAATTACATTCAAACTAAAAATATATGCAGTAAAGTACACTTACTTTGAGGTGTGCATGTAGAAGGCTCCTGGATGATGATGATGATGATGATGGGAATTAGAATGGGGGTGGAGGAGAAGGGAGAAGAGAAGGCATTGGGGTGGAAGAGAAGTCACCCCATGCTTCGTGCTGCCATTTCACCCATAAAATTTTAGTTCACTTGGTGTAATTCAAGATTATTTTCTTTAGATCAACACTGCACAGCATTATATATTGTCAATATGTAAAATAAACTTCAGAATGACCAATAATTATAATGTACTGTAAAAATGTAAAAATAGTTTATGTTCAAGAGAGTCTCAAGCAAGATGCTTCCTCCACTGAGCAGAGACACAAACTGACGCCATTCTGGGTGAGTCAAGTGGCTGTTTGGCGTGCTAAAAACTAGTTCCCTGTACTTCAATTATGTTAAATAATTGTTAAAATGACTAAAAATTTTAATATAAGACTTGGAAAATTATTGAATAGTACAACCTTCTTGATATTTACTCAAATGGTAACAAATTTAAGCCCTAAAACCGATTACTGTATTGGCGGACTAATACTACAGCTGGAAAGCAGGTGAAATCATGTAGGGAAAATTTTTTAAGGAATTCGTTAACCGAATTTTTTTCGCTAACTGAATTGAATATTCTTATGGAAGGTAATTCGTTAACCGAGGCGTTCATTAACTGAGGGATCACTGTATTGGAATAAAAGTAATAGAAAACCATACTTAAGTAAAATTAAAAGTACTAAAACTTTTTAGTGCTTTTTAAAAAGTAGATACCCAAAAATTTTACTTGAGTAGAGCATTCAAGTAAATATATTTTGTTACTTTACAACTCTGTGTATACTTAAGTGTAGTATGTAAGTGTAACAGTAAATACACATTACTCTACAGTGGTTCAATAAGTGTGTGCACATGCACTGCACTGTGAAAATGTACAAGTGTGTATTATATGTTCAAGTGTACAGTACATACTCGTACAGCATAGGCACTCATGCAATGGCCATTTGAAACAGCTCTGGAAGAAATTTTTCTAAACTATAGCATCTACAACAGAGTAAAATTTCATTTGTATATTTTAATACATACAGTACATATGTATTTTATCTTAATATTTACATACAGTATTCATTATACAGAGACAAACTATCAGACAACTCATCAGGGATAACCGTCATCTGTCTGTTATCTTGAGGATTTGTCTGACAGGTTTATGGTGTCCATTATAGCCGGGTTCTGTTACATACAACATCCGTTATAGTGATTTTTTACTGTATTGCGCCAAGCAAGAAATACTCAACAGTAATTACATTGATCTAACGGGTCAATCACCTGCTGTTACATCATGTCATGTTCCCTGACATTAGCAGGTTCTGCCAGGGTGATTCTGGTGGAGGTGCCTTCTGACACTCATCATTAACCCACAGGTTATAAAACAGGAGATAAAACATACCTGCGAGGTGCTCCATCAGGATGTGGTGGTACAATGGTGACAGTTACAGTCATGGATGTTTTGAGCAAGTCCACCATCTGTTCTTGCGACAAGGTTGCTAGAGTAACTGTGCAGATCTGTGGATAATACAGACACTAAAAACAACATCGTTTATACAGTGGAATAAGTATTAAAGAACTGTCTAATAAATATGGCATTGGAGTGTATGTTTGAAACAATAAAGAGTTATGTTGTAAAATTAGATTTAGTTTTTTAGCAAATGATTAGCAAGTTTTCCTTTGTTTTTAATACTAATTCCACAAATCCGTACCTTTCAGAAATTCTGGTATGGTGGGATACCAATTAGCACAAATTTGTGAGGTCAGACTGTATTATTTATTTTATTATTACTGTATGTACATTTAAAAAATATTTATATTTTCACAATAATTATACTGAATTAGCCCTTGTCTCATGGCAGTAGCAATTATATAAATTTGTGTTAATACATTTAGTTTATACAATACAATCACCCCACGGTAATTTTCCATAAGCTGTGAGTTGCCATGTGCTGTTCAGGTGAGGGGAAATTCCACTATCAGTAGGCCGACCTTGAGAGTTGTAAGGTTGGCCCGGCTTCTACTTCAGAGGCTCCCTCCTCACAGGGACCTTCCCTCACAAGCATCAGTGCTAATTACGGTGCTTTTACTCATAGCCTGTGACCTTTTTAGTTTATCAATAAATGGAGAAAAGACCATTTTGGGTTTGTAACTTAACCCCTTAACTTATTTATATACACTTGAGTCTGCATTTACGCGGTCAATTGAACCCGTGGAGGCCTGCGTAAAACGAGAAACACGTAAATAAAATAACAGAACATATGGGATTAATTGAAATAGAGACTGGGCCGACCCCCAAACTCCACTTTTCACGACACAATACCTACGTTGTAGTAAAAATAACATCTTAATTTTATGATGGTATGCACACACAATTAATATTTAAGAGAAATACAGTAGCCTGGTTAATGTCCATTCAAATAATCGACTCAACTCCCCCCCCCCCTCTTCTCACACTCGCTGGCTATTCCCTCTCTGAGAAATGTTTAGGGGAAAACCACTAGATTTTAAGGTATAGTAATAAATAATACCTCAAACTAAAGTTAGGATAATATAATTGACATTGCTGGATTCCTTGTAAGACCAGGAATATTTTGAATATACAGTCGGCCCTTAACATACGCGGGTTTATAATACACGGATTTGCAAATACGCGGATTGCCCCGCCGGAGGAATATTCTGTACATTGAAGTAATTGAAGTACATTCAAATCGCGCACGGCACCGAACACGGGACACCGCCCGCTCCTGCAACCTCACACACACACACATAGCTCTCCCTCACTCAGTCAGTCTCGCTGTAACCACGCTTGTGTTGACATCAGCACTGTAGTTGCAAAAATATTACATTTCCGTGAATGTATTATATCAAGCACAGTATGAATAGAATATCACTAATATAAGAGTATTTTAACCGAAAACTACTAAAAAAACGAGTAACATATCTTGAACATCAGAAGGTTAGGTAAAGTCTTTTGTTTTCATGTAGTTTATCCTAATTTACATTGAAATGCATTACGTTTCAGCAAAAGTACTATTTATTTCTGAGAATATGGAAATGTAATATTTTGCTGAAATGACATACGTGTTACAGTGGAAAGTGACGAAAGCAATGACTCGCTTTCTTTCGTTCAAAAGATGTTACCGTAATCGCTTTTCGAATGGTTTTCAGTTAAAAAACTGTTGTATTACAATAACATTCTATCCTAATTCACTTGTGATGCAACAGTTTTTTTAACTGAAAACCATTCAAAAAGCGATTACGGTAACATCTTCTGAACGAAAGAAAGCGAAAGTCATTGTTTTCATCACGATTTTATCCCACTTTCCACTGTAATACGTACGTCATTTCAGCAAAAATATTACATTTCCGTGAATGTAGTATATCAAGCACAGTATGAATATAATATCATTGTAATATAATAGTATTTTAAACGAAAACTGTTAAAAAAACGAGTAACATCTCTTGAACATTGGAAGGTTAGGAAAAGTCTTTTGTTTTCGTCATGTATTTTATCCTATTTTACATTGAAATACATCACGTTTCAGCAAAACTACTATTTATTTCTGAGAATATATTCATTCAGGCAATGTTTAGGTAAAATATACATGTGCTGTAACATATTTTTAATTGAAAACGATTCGAAAAACACGTACCCTCTAGCCCTGTTCAAGGAGAAGACTGGGAGGAGCTGTTTGGTGTTGAAGACGATGACAAGGAAAATGATTTTGATGGATTTTAATGAAAATATTCAGAAATATGGTATCGTAGTATTTGTTCAAGTGAATTAGGACAGAATATTATTGTAATACAACAGTAGTGACAATGTGGAGGAGGCGGAGAGATAGAGCGGGAAGGAGGCGGAGGGATAGAGCGGGGAGGAGGTGACTGGCTGGAGCAGGGACGAGTGGAGATGCCAGCCAGTACATTACTGGTGTACAGTATTAATTGTTTTTATAGCTCTTTTTGCATTTTAATATTAAATATTGTACATTACGTTACAACAAAACTACCATTTATTTCTGAGAACATGGAAATGTAATATTTTTGGTGAAATGATGTACGTATTACAGTGGAAAGTGGGATAAAATTGTGACGAAAGCAATGACTTTCTCTTTCTTTCGTTCAAAAGATGTTACCGTAATCGCTTTTCGAATGGTTTTCGGTTGTGGGATTATAAGGTTAATGATAGGATAGAATATTATTGTAATGCAGTACGAGTACAACAGTTTTTTAACTGAAAACCATTCAAAAAGCGATTACGGTAAAATCTTTTGAATAACGAAAGAAAGCGAAAGTCTTTGTTTTCGTCATGATTTTATCCCACTTTCCACCATAATATGTACGTCATTCCAGCAAAAATATTACATATCCATATTTATTTCCGAGAATATATTCATTCAGTCACAGTTAAGGTAAAATATACTTGTGATGTAATATTTTAATGAAAATACGGTATCGTAGTTTTCTTTTGTTTATAAATATTTTTCAACCTAAAGAAACTATTAATTTTTAGGTCGCACTTCAATTTTTTGCCAAATAATTCTATTTCAAAACTCAACTTACAATATTATGTATATACTGTAAATAAGGACATGGGGCCAGGGTTTTTGGGGAGGGGGGGGCAGCACATGCTATTTGGATTTAACCACGGCCATCTCTGTTACGTAACTCTGCCAGATGTTAAGGGCCGACTGTAATGTCATATATTTGCACAAAAGATAACATATTTACTCAGAGTAAAACAAAATACTATATTAGATCTAAAATTTGTATGTCTAATGCAAAATCTATGATGTTTATATTCAAAAATGATCATCAAATTGTAAGAATTCCAGCAATGTAAATTATATTCTGGCCGGGTAATTTGTATGAATTTTTATGAGCAAAATAAAATATCTTCAGTTAATAAAAAAAAAATATTCTTCACTTATTAATTATTCGTCAATCAAAATACCCTCAATTTTTTCCCTCTTCCAATTTCAGTAGATGGTCGGTCGGGTCCTCCTCAACAGAGAAATGTTTGGAAAAACCAGAATATTTAATTTTAGAGGATAGCACCAGACTAGTTAGATATTATAATTGACATTGCTGACTCTTGTAGCGTATGTTAAGGGCCGACTATAAATGTCATATATTTTGCACAAAAGATAAGAATTTTACTCAGAGTAAACAAAATACATAAAGTAGATCTAAAATTTGTATGTCTAATGCAAAATCTATGATGTTTATATTCAAAATGATCATCAAATTGTAAGAATTCCAGCAATGTTATTATATTCTGGCCAGGTAATTTGTATGAATTTTATGAGCTAAAACAAATATCTTCAGTTAATAAAAAAAAAAATATTCTTCACACCATGCCAGATGGTCGCCCAAGCCCTCCCTCCCCCCCACCAACCCTCCCTACCAGATAAATGTGTGGGAAAACCAGAATATTTACCTTTTTAGTAATAAATAATACCTCAGACTAAAGTTAGGATAATATAATTGACATTGCTGGATTCCTTGTATGACCAGGAATATTTTGAATATAAATGTCATATATTTTGCACAAAAGATAACATATTTACTCAGAGTAAACATTACATCTAAAATTTGTATGTCTAATGCAAAATCTATGATGTTTATATTCAAAATGATCATCAAATTGTAAGAATTCCAGCAATGTAAATTATATTCTGGCCGGGTAATTTGTATGAATTTTATGAGCTAAATAAAAAATAATAATTATACTTCACGAGTATATGGGTAGATGAACCGTGTAAAGTGAAAGTTTGATTCTGGAGAGGCACCGAGTATATGAGAAATCGCGTAAAGTGAAACCGCGTAAAGCGGGGTACAACTGTATACTCACCCCTGAAGATGTGAATTACACGAAAGCGCTTGGGAACTTCGTGTTTTCATTTTCCTTGTGGTTATCAGCATATACCTGAATCACGCGCACCTACAGTGATACATTATATATATATATATATATATATATATATATATATATATATATATATATATATATATATATATATATACACATACATACATACATACATACATACATACATACATACATACATACATACATATATACAGTAACACCCTGCTTAACGCGGCTCTCGTTTACGCGTTTCTACATTTACGCGGTACCCTGCCAGAACCGGAATTCCCACTTTATGCGGTGCACCTACTCATATACGCGGAGAGCGGCGCGGGCAGGATGCGCACATGGTCGCCCAGTCATCAAAACATTACCGAGTTCTTTACCCACCACCCACCACAGCCGGCCCAAGTCAGTGATAGTGAGGATATGGACTTTGAGGGGTTTGACAAAGAGGCCCAGCAAGCCTCTGTGGTGGATAGTGATACAATTGATACAAGTGATACAGGCCAGTACTCTGCCCTCTGCCTCGGAACCAACCCCTCATTCCCGTGTGCCCAGCCATCTTTTCTACTAATGCAAGTATTAAAAAACCTAATATTAATGATATTTCTCTTAATTATTAATTGTGTGTACATACCATCATAAAATTAAGAAGTTATTTTTACTACAACGTAGGTAATGTGTCTGAAAAAGTGGAGTTTGGGGGTTGGCCCAGTCTCTACTTCAATTAATCCCATATGTTCTGTTGTTCACTTTACGCGTTTCCCGCTTTACGCGGGCCTCCGTGGGTTCAATTGACCTTGTAAAGCGAGGGTTCACTGTACACTGACTTTTCATGTCGATTTAACACTAATGGATGATTTTTTTAATTTAAAGAGTTCAGATATTACCGATTTGAAGGAGATTTATGATAACGTTTCAGATGATTTTGACAACACACTCAAGTCTGACACTGTACTAGCTACTGGTACTAGTGTAAATACTGAACACACAGAATTAATAGATTCCCAGGAAACGCAAGCGCCCTTACTGCGAGACATTTCTGTTGAGAGTAGTGAACATTTAAGTGATCAATTGCATGACAATTTATGTTGTGGAGCCCTAAGGTCAGGTAATACGTACAATACAACACCTGATTACGGGCAGGATACCTCTCAGTCTACAGAATCTCACAGTGTGTCAGAGATAACTTTCCCTCTTGCACCCACACATATTTCAGTTAGATCTAAGTTGTCTAGCAACTCACTAACCATGGCCACATCTAACATCAGCATGTCATCTAACCAACCTAACATTGTTCAAGTATTACCCCGCAGTGATCGCATCCATGAGTTTATGGCGGAGGATGGCTGTCGTGTAACCACATTTTTAAGGTCATGTGAAGATGTAATAAAAAACATTCAAATAACAGATGATGATGAACGCAAAGCATTTGTATGCGGTCACATCAAAGAAGGGACTTATGCAAGCAAACATTTGGAGGCGAATGGGCTTGCACATCCCACTTATGCGAAGTTTAGGAAGACTTTAATTGGTCTATTTGAATTAGGCGCACAGCAGGGTCACCTGAACTGGACGTTTAGGTGGGTTGATCATCTGCCACGGACGATACGCCAGAAGACACGATGAGAAGTGTTTCTCTTGCTAGCGAGGTCTGTCAAGATATCTTAACCAATTTTGGTGGTTCACCCTGGGTGGACGAGCACAATAATATGTCTCAAGACAGTTTTACACAATTAATAGAGTTCCTTAGTTTCATCTTAACAATCCGTGACCCGGCATATATTCATGCAAAGACACACGATTATAAGCCCGATGAGGATATTTTGGATTATGCAGCAAAGATCGCTATTAAATCATCACGTACTCCCCTAGCAAGGACAGAAACACCTGCAGCGTCAATTCAGCAACGAGTTCCTAAGAACTCAGCAACAAAGAAGCAACATTTAGTATGCACACATTGCAAGAAAAATGGTCATACTTTTATTTACAACATCTGTTCTAATAATGTTCGAGAGATGAATTTGGTACCATAATGATACAGGTATCCCCATATTACCGAATCTCAGGTTGCAGAAACTCGCCCATGCGGAATTGGCAAATTCAGGATATGGCCTGTAAATTGGACCTTATGGAAATGAACTCAATTTAAAAAAAAATTTAACACAAAAATCATTATATAAAACAAAACAAAATTCATAGAAATTATAGTTTATTTGGTGTGGATATCTTGGTGTTTGCTACCATTAGCGTACCCACACCACTCATATCATTGTCTCATCGCTGGATGATCGTCTTCCTCGATTTCGAGTGACAGCAAAGTAGTAGTACCCACACCGCTGGACTCAAGTTTCTTTACATCTCCCAGCATGTACGCTTGATCTCTTGTAGAAGTGCTGAACATGAGTGAAGGGCGCAGGCAGCGAACAGACCGTATTAGACTAAAATACTGTTGGAAAGTTCTGGGGATTGAAAATTCTGGCTACTGGGGAGATTTCTATATCACATACTGGTGAAGTACCTTCTAAGCTTATGTTGACTAATTCTTTGAAGCAAAACAATCAATTGTGTCATAATATTACAGCAACTTTCTCAGCTCATGGTTTATGTTATGGTGAGCCCACTCAGGCAATCTTGATGATCTCAGGTATTTTTTTATAATTTTAAATTTACCTAAGATCCTTTCTACAGCAGTCACTCTCACTGGGAGTGACAACAATCTTCAGTGCAATAGATAAGTTTGGTTACAGTTCTTTCAGCTGTTTTTCATGAACGAAAGAGTATTTCCTATGCTGTCAAGTTCTGTGATGGTATATAAGGCAAATTTTGAATATTTTGTACAACGTTTCTGAAAGCCCCAGAGAGCAAAGTTTCTTTCATACAAGTGAATGTACTGTAACCACCAGCCTTGTCTGAACATCCCACCAGTATATTTTTTCAGTTTCAATCATAGATTTCTTTATGTGATCAATAGATATCTCCTTTTTTCCCAAGAACAATTCAATCTCTTGCTATGTAATTAAGTTCCATGTTTTGTGCCAGTCAATCATTGGCAATGGGGGGCAATTGTCCTATGGGGGGCAATTGTCCAAAAACCCTCTGAACTGAATAAAATTGTCTGTCATTACTCAAATAAAATATTATAAGTGGCATCCCCATAGTGAAGGAGTTAAGGATATTTGTCAGTTCCATCACATCACTTAATTTTCAGAAAAGGGCAGAATAAACTATACAGTACATTACTGTACAACTAAATGAGGAAAATACAGATTAAGTGTAAATACTCACTTCTACCAGTCTGGCTCCCTGTCGCAGGCCAGACTGTGATGCCAAACCATAAGGTTCTACTTCGGTGATAACCCCATCTTGTTGTACATTAAACCCCAATAAACCTGCTGGGTTTCTCCGCAAAATCAGTTCCTAGGAAAAAAAAAATTATTTAATGAGAAAAAAGTTTAATAGAGAATCTACATAAATGTGAAACAATAAAAAAAAATTTTACTTCAAATATAAAAAAGCAAAAGACTTAGGCAGTGGTACATTCATGTAAAAATTGGAGAGGAAAGGGGTAGGCAATTAACAATACAGTACAGTGATCCCTCGGTTAACAAAATTTTGGTTAATGAATTACCTTCCATAAGATTCTTCACTTCAGTTAACGAAAAAATTTCGGTTAACGAATTCCTTACAAATTTTTCCCAAAATGTTTTCGCTTACATTTGGCTGTTCACCAGCTGTAGCATTAGTCCACCAATACAATAATCGGTTCTAGGGCTTAAATTTGTTACCATTTTAGTAAATATCAAGAAGATTGTACAATACAATCATTTTAAAAGTTTTATATTAAATTTTTTAGTAATTTTAACAATTATTGAACACAATTGAAGTACAGGAAACAAGTTTTTGCATGCCAAACAGCCACTCAACACACCAAGCTTGGCGTCAGATTGTTTATCGGTTCAGAGGAAGGAACATCTTGTTTGAGACTCTTCAACATAAACGCTTTTTTTTTTCTGTGTTTCCAGTAAAGTTATTGGTCATTCTGAAGTTTATTTTACATATTGACAATATATAATGCAGTGCAGTGTTGATTTAAAGAAAATAATCTTGAATTCCACCAGGTGAACTAAAATTTTATGGGTGAAATGGCAGCATGGGGTGACTTTTCTTCCACTTCAATGCCTTCTCTTCTCCCTTCTCCTCCACCCCCACTTCCTTCTCTTCTCCCTTCTCCTCCTTCACCCCTCACTTCAAATTCACATCAGCATCACCATCCAGGAGCCTTCTACATACACACCTCAAAGTAAGCGTACTTAACTGCATTGTTTTTTTACTTTAGGTAATTTTCGGTATGCTGAAACCAATTAACCAAAAACCCATTGAAACAATGGCTTCGGTTAACAAAATTTTCGGTTAACGAACAACCTTCTGGAACGAATTGTGTTCATTAACCGAGGGACCACTGTATACAATAATATCTCCGTTAGTCGGAATCCCTCAAACCCAGAATCTCCAATCGCCAGAATTGAAATTTACTCGGAAAATCATTCCCAAAGCCGGAATTTTCCTCCAGGAAAAAAAATTCCGAGATTGAAAATCAAGAGAATTTTCTGAAAATGTTTTGAATAAAGATGAAAGTTAAAGTATTTTTTGGGGGACCTGACCTGACTCAGTGTCAGGTGGAGGTAGGGTGGGGGATTAGTGGTCTCATATTAATGACCTTATAATGGAATGTCAGGTCACCCTTTCTTGGGTGATAAGTACAAATGAGCAAAGTTGTATCCCTTCAACATTACATAACATTTTAAATATGGAGTGAGAAAGCAGAAAGGTGTGGGTGATTAGAGAGATGGAGTGGAAAGGAGTGATAACATGCACCAGTGTCGCCAAGCTATAGGCTCCTGAACAGCTGATCTTTTAATTTGCCTCCATGCAGTCACAACAAGACCCTCACTGGATATTTATTATCTTAATTTGCATGTATGTATGTGTGTGTGTGTGTGTGTGTGTATGTGTGTGTGTGTGTGTGTGTGTGTGTGTGTGTTTTGACTTTGCAAAGCACATTGTAGGATTTGAAGAAATTGATGAAGAGTTTGTTCAGGAGTCAGGTGGTGAAGTGACATGCCAAGACACTTACACAGGAGACACATTACAACACTACTAAACCATTGTCTTATACCATATTACATTATAATTCATATTTTAAAATTTATTGATACATGATGGCTTGACTGGGCTACTTTTGCACTAAGACAACTGATCAATGAATAAACCAGGGCATATGGAGATGCATTAGACACTAGTGATGTCCCAAAGCTTAAAAACTGTAACCACAACATCTGAGCAACCACATAAATTATCACAACCTATAAGAACATAAGAACATAAGAGTGGTGGAAACTGCAGCGGGCCTATTGGCCCATACTGGGTAGTCCCGCTTACACCCAACCCCTATTGCTCATATAAGCATCCAACCTATGTTTGAAGCTATCCAGCGTATTCGAGTTAATGATGATATTTGGTAACCTGTTCCATTCATCCACTACTCTGTTTCCAAACCAGTGTTTACCTATTTCGCGCCTAAATCTAAATTTGTCAAATTTAACACCATTGTTACGAGTTCGCTCCTGGTTGGATAGTTTGAGTACCTTTGTAATGTCCCCTTTGTTTAGCCCTGACTTTCATTTATACAGCTCTATCAGGTCGCCCCACGCTCAACGTCTCTCGAGGGAGTGCAAATCAAGATGTTTTAACCTGTCTCTATACTCATGGTTCCTAGTGCCCGGGATTAGTCTTGTCATTCTCCTCTGAATTCTTTCCAAGGATTCTATATCCATTCTGTAATACGGTGACCAGAACTGAACTGCATAATCCAGGTGTGGTCTCACAAGTGCAAGATACAGTTTTAGGATGACCTCTCTAGTCTTGTAACTAACACTCCTTTGTATGAACCCAAGTATTTTATTAGCCTTGTTACGAGCAATAACACATTGTTTACTTGGCTTAAGGTTCCTACTTATCATTACTCCTAAATCTCTCTCGCAGTCGGATTTCTCAATGGCATCATTGTTCATCTGGTAAGTGGTTTCCCTGTTTACATCTCCTATACTGAGTACTTTACATTTGTCCACGTTGAATTTCATCTGCCATTTTTCAGACCATTCGAAAAATTTGTTTAGATCTTCCTGTAGTTTTGCGGAGTCCTCGTCAGATTCAATTACACGTACTATTTTAGTGTCATCAGCAAATGTACTTATGTTGCTGTCTATGCCGATATCTATGTTGTTTATGTATATAACGTAATAAATAATAATGGTCCAAGTACTGAGCCTTCGGGAACTCCACTAGTGACGTTGCTCCAATGGGATTTAGTGCCGTTAATGGCATGCTCACTCGCTGTTTCCTGTCCTGTAACCACGCCCTTTGCTAAAGTCGAGATATACCACATCATAATTGTGCCCCTCGTCCACCGATTCGAAAACAGATGAAAAGAATGTTAATAGATTAGTTAGACATGAATGCCCGCTTGTGAAGCTATGCAGGGAATCATTGATCAATTGGTGCTTCTCCAGGTGATTTTGAATAGAGTTTGAAATGATTGCTTCCAGTAATTTGCCTACTATTGATTGGGCGGTAGTTAGAGGATAGTGATCTATCCCCCTTCTTGAAAATCGGTATTACATTCGCTATCCTCCATGATTCTGGTACTACACCTGTTTTTAAGGACATGTTAAACAACTTTGCTAAGGGCATACTAAGTTCTTCCTTACATTCCTTTAATACTCTGGCAAATATCTCATCGGGACCTGGTGACTTATTTGGCTTTAGTCTGTCTATTTGCTTACTAACATCGTTACTAGTCACTACTATCTCACTTAATTTGTTTTCTTCACTATCTCTGAATAGAGTCGGTGCCTCGGGTATCATGTTTAAATTTTCGGTGGTGAATGTATAATATGGACACGAAGTAGTACCTTAAGCTGTGTGTTCTTATATTACTCTATTAATTGGGTATAGTAAAGTATTACAGAACATGTATTAATCCTATGTAATATTTCCATTTATTATGCACCATGTTATGTATGTGAATTATCATATTTACATATTATGTAATCAGCTTGTGAATGCTGGCATCTGTACATGCCAGCGCGGAGTGATACAGAGAGTTGAGATCGCTAGTCCTTATGGTGTGGAAGCCCACTGTCTATTTGTTTCCTCTGTATATCTCCCGTACGAGAATAAGAACCTATTTTCAAGAAAACAAGTGTTTGCCTATACCCTCCGTAGTGTAGAACATTTTAGGGGTATCAAAGACAAACATAGAGTGAAAACTGTTGAAAAATATTTATTCAGATTATTGCTCATTTCTCCGTCGTTATCAGTTAGCTCACCAGTATCTGACTGTATTGGTCCAATCTTTTCTCGTGTTTTAGTTTGATACATTTGGTAGAATCCTTTGGGGTTTGTCTTCGCCTCCCTTGCTATCCTTACCTCATTATTCCTCTTGGCTTTCCTTATCTCGGTTTCAACCCTACTCGCCAATACCTTATAATAATCCCGGAGGTAAATTTCGCCACGATTTATCCTTCTACCTATAGCCTTCCTATGGCCAATGATGTTCTTTAAATAATTATTAATCCATTTAGGGTCATTGTTGTCTGATCTGAGTTTTTTGTATGGTATGTTCTGCCTTTGTGCATTAAGTAACTCATTATTTAAATTGTCGTGGAACTCGGCAATTTCAGATCTCGTTATCAGTTCAGCTTCAACCGTCAGGTCTCCTGGTATGGTGAGGTCACCCTCTGTGGGTGCATTGAGTGAGGTCACCTCATGTGAGGTCATGTAGCTCACCCCCAAGCGTGATACCCCCTCCCTCCGCTGTCTCTTCAAACTGTCAAAGTTTGCCCTTCTGAAATATGGGACTTTTGTGGAATTTTCCTTCCGTCTGCCCTGAAAATCTAACTGGAATCTAACTTCTTTGTGATCGCTGTTTGCAAGCTCGTTCCCTACCTCGACATTGCTAATGAGGTTTTCTCTATACTCAAGCAAGAACATGAGAACATAAAAATGGAGGAGATTGCAGCGAACCTATTGACCCATAGTGGGCAGTCCCATTTACACCTAACCCCTATTGCTCATTTGTCCAGCCAACCTATATTTGAAGCTATCCAGTAAAATAAGGGATGTTTATACTGAAATTAATCACAATCTTACAAGATTTCCAACAATGCGAGTTATATTCTCCTAAGTCAAGTCAGTGCCATCTTATAAGCAAAAAAACTAAACCTTCCGCCTTTCATAATCCTTGACTAAGCATTAATCTCCTCTACTGGCTGTCGACACTCCACCTCCTCCCAGCCAGCAGTGGGTGAGCAGACAACATTAATAACGATTAATAAGAACACAAGTGACAGTAAAAT